CTGAACTGGGCGTCCTTGATAACTTGCTTGTTTTCTTGCAGATGTTGTGTTACCCAAGTAGATATCACCATCGTTGTATGATGAATGGCTAAGGGAAGCAGGCATGTTCAGCCTAATGAAGAGAAGGTTTAGGAGTGATATGATAGTTGTCTTCCAAGACTTGAAGGGCCGTCACCAGTAAGAGGGAGTGAATTTATTCTCCAAATCACCCGAGGGCAGGACAAGAAGCAATGGGTGGAAGCTACTCAGAGGAAGATCCTACCTGGAACTAAAGAGACATTTCCTGACAGTAAGAACAATGAAGCAATGGAACAGCTTGGCTCCTGGAGTTGTAGGTGCTCAAAAGCTGGAAGTTTTTTGAGAAAAGATTGGACAACCATTTGTCTGGGATGGTATAAAGCTCCTACCTTGGGCAGAGGGTTGGATTAGAAGACCTCCAAGGTTCCTTCCAGCCCCATCGTTCTATGATCAGCACCAGAAAGGAGTTGGGCTTGCTTGAAGCCCTGAAGATGTTACCTAGTTGGGTGATGAAATGTCTACAAGAAAGGGACCAAGCTCAGAGAGGACCAAGGACCCCACAAGTGAAGTATGTTGGGTGAATGCAACTGAGTTTTGGTAGGAGGTGGTCTTTTGACTCCTTCAGCTTCATCTAATATTCCTGTTGCAGAAGACTTTAAAGCCATTGCGACTATAACGCATAAGTTGGAAACCTTCCAGTTCTGAAATCTTTGAGTTTCCTTTCCCCTCACTTTTTTCAATTCCCAAATCTCCTATTAATCTTGTTGTTGAATTCCACTAGTTTATAAATGTCGAAGTTTGCTGGCATTGTTGTGTGCCTGCTTTTTTCTTTTTTATCCCAGCAAACTACAAGATAAAACGATTGGGTAAACCTTAGAATAAACTTAATCCATTAAACAAGAAACAAACACAAGCCAGATTAATTCTGCCAAGAAACTAGGGGAAAAAAAATAAACCGCAGTCCTAACCCAAAATTTATTGCAACTCATGCCAAATAGAACTTTTGCCAGAGTGGGAAGTTCATTTCATGTTTTCCCTACATAAAGTTTATAGCTTTATTACTTCTAAGCCACCAGTCCTTAGAAAACCTAATACCTGCCTCTCCGGGATAGAATTCATGGTGAACCATGTTTTTTGATGTGGAATTTGTCTTTGAAATATTTTTTAAAGTGGAAATCACTTAAAGCAACAGGAATTGGTTTCATTTTTTAATTTCTTTTTGGAAAATGAGAGAGGGAGCAGAGAGCTAAAATGTTCTGAATAACTGCACCGAATCATCAAACTTTCCTAGCCTTTGTGATTGGCACACTCCAAGTTTACCAGCTTGGTGTGTGCAGAACTCCAGGCAAGCAGGGCAGAATCTGCTTTCCCTGGCACAAATATATTTTCCCCCTTTGATGGTGAAAAATTCCAAAAAGTGGAAGATAAATTTATCTTGCCTGAAAAGTAAATCAATGACTATAAAATGAACTTGTTAAGAAGAGAAAGAAAGTAGGTGATATTTGGGTTTATGGGGGGAGGAAAAAAGGGAGAAAAAGCAGGAAAAAAAAGGAATCTTTGTGAATAAAACAAATTTGAGGAACTATGCAAATATTGGCAAGGGATCTGATTGGATTAGAACAATCTGTGCGGAGAAAACACACACTCAGGGCAAATATTTGAATGCAAAACCGTTTGTGGAGAACGCTCTCTCTTATAAACGCTTGCAGCTTTTCCCAGTTAATCGTAATTGTAAATTGTCTTCTTCTTAGCACAGCCAATCGGCACCAGGATCCTTGGCAAGCAAGACGTGGAGATGAATTCCCATTTGCTTAGATGATACAAGGCGGATTATATGATCATGCCAAGGTTTGTGTCATTGGTCTAATGGTTGGATCCAGCCGGATTAATTAGGTCCCTTGCCAAAAGCGAGAATGGTACCACCCATTGTTGAATGGGAACAGCCAAGGCTGCCATGTGGGTTGAGGGTTGAGATCTTAGCAGGAGTCTCTGAGATCCCATGGAACTTCTTCATCCAATCTTTTTTCATTGCCAGAAAGGCTTTAAAAATTGTTAACCTTATTTTGTGAAGCTTCTTCTCTGGCAACGTTGATCTGTTAACTAGGGCATACAAGACCTTTGCCAGACCAATTCTCGAATACAGCTTGTCCGCCTGGAACCCACACTGTATATTGGACATTAACACAATTGAACGGGTTCAGAGGTATTTCCCGAGAAAAGTCCTCCACTCCTCCACTCGCCATAGAAATCCCTATGTCTCCAGCTTGAAATTTTGGGCCTGGACAATCTGGAACTGCACTGCCTGCAGTCCAGTCTAAGTATAGTACACAGAATTGTCTGCTACAACGTCTTGCCTGTCAACAACTTCTTCACCCTCAATCACAATCATACATGGGCAAACAACCGATACAAACTCAACCGATACTAAACCACTCCAAACTCGATTGCAGAAAATACGACTTCAGCAACAGATTGGTCAATGCCGGGAATGCCCTACCCGACTCCATTGTCACAGCCTTGAACCCTCACAGCTTCAACCTCAAACTGTCTACTGTGGATCTCACCCCATTCCTAAGAGGTCTTTAAAGGGGGTGTGCATAAGTGCACCCAGCATGCCTACCGTCCCTGTCCTCATTGATCTGTATTTACTCCCTTTGTTCTTGTTTATGTTCATACTTACGCTTGTTATCTTGTACATGTGTGACAAACAAATAAATAAAATGTAATTTTTTTAAAAAAAATATCCCACTGAGCAGTGATACTCCTGCTGTTCGGCCAAGTTGCGGCTGGAAACTACGGCCTATTCTTGTGAGAAATAAATTTGTGTATTTATTCATCTCTTTACTTTACTTTATTGTCATTGCATCTCGTACAACAAAATCAAACACCATCTTCAATGCACATCATGACCATGATGAAAATAAACACAAACATCCTTCACCCTCCACACATTGAATCTAAAACTCCTGACACCTCACCAACACTGCACTATGCTAAATCTCAATTTTGTAAAGGACTTTGAAGAGACCGACTGAATTTCAGCCATACATAAGGATGTTAAAATGCCACATTCATGAAAATGATATGCAAAATAACAAAACAGCACAGAGGAATTACATTATTTTTTTTTCTTTGAGGTGGTTTAAGATGGACAGTCCAGAGGGACAGACAGATGGAAAGAAGTAGTACAGTTCCATCACAACTAATTTCAACATGCACCATGACATCCCATGCACAGATAAAAGAGGTGGCCCTTGTGTTGTGATGGTGGGGCCAGGAACTTCTGCAGATATTCCTTAGGAAACAATCTGTCTGGGTCTCCTATGTTGGAGCACGTGTTGGCTTGAATTTCAAGACCAAGGAGTTCTAGTTTGGGGGCTCCACAATCAACTTTGCTGGTAGAAGGTCATCCAGCAGTTCCACCTGTCAGGGATTCGGCGATTGCCCTAATTGAATCATGAGCCCCAAGCCAAGCTTCAAAAAGATTCAAAAGATTTATTAGGAGCAACATGCCGGCATTAACCTAAATTAAGCCAACATAAAACAGTCCTATGCCTGTTTTCGAGTTGCCACCACCTCAGAAAAACACCACACAACTAGCCACCATTGTTTAGGAAGAGCCCAACTTCTAAGTCTTGATATTAAACTAAGCCTGTTGGTAACCTACCAAGATTTTTAAAAAAAAGAAAGTCTAGATCAGGGGTGTCAAACTTGATTTCATTGAAGACTTCATCAGGGTCGTGTTTGACCTCAGGGGGCTGGGGTGAGTGTGGCTAGGGTGGGCATGGCCAGCTCAACATCACTCATGTCGGGGACACCTGTGGTGGCCAAAGGGGTCTGCCAGCAAAAATGGGCTCCCGAGCTCTGTTTATGGCTGTGACAGCCCCTGCAACCAGGGGTGGGATTCTACAGGTTCGCACCTATTCGCTAGAACCGGTTGTTAACATTCTAAGCAGTTCGGAGAACCAGTTGTTAGAAGAAATGACTGGGCTAATCCTGTAAGGAAGGCAGGAAGGAAACGTTCTGGTGTTGCTTACAGAAACTGCCTCTCCGTTAACCCTTTTTACATTCTTGGCAGGATTAGACTTCCTGTCTCTGGAACTTCTCTGGAGTTTTTTCCCCCTCCTTTGCTGGTACTTTGCTTGTGTGGAGTGACCATTCAAAGTTACAATGGCCCTGAAAAAAAAGGACTTATGACCATTTTTCACACTTACGACTGTTGCAGCATCCCCACAGTCATGAGAGGCCAGGCGAGGAGATGCGTGCCTCAATGTGAGTGATGTTGAGTTGGCCACGCCCAGCCAGTCACATGACCACCAAGCCACGCCCACCAACTTAGCCAAACTGATTGTTAAAAAATTTGAATCCCACCCCTGCCTGCAACCCTCTGCCAGTGAAAACAGAGCTCGGAAGAGCCGCATCTAAGCACCCTGTGGGCCAAATCTGGCCCATGGACCTTGGGTTTGACACCCCTGGTCTAGATGATCCAGGACTAATGTCAGGTTTCCAAGTGATGAAATCCATTTAAAAGAAAAAAAGCAAAGTCCATCTTCCACAATGATTTCTTTTATTTAGGAAAGCATCAAATTGGCAAAGTCTGTTGTAATTCCGGATCTGACACAACCCGGTATTACACCACGTAATATTGGAAGTTAGAAACAACCCCTAAATGTCACATTCTCCAATAAAAGTAAATCAATGTTGCCTGGTGTCATCAATCTCCACCTCCAGGTCTCAGCAAGGTCAGCTTTTGTTCCCACGGGAAGAAACACCTCCTAGCTTAAACAACTCTCCCTATCTCCACTCCTCCCTCCTTAGGAATGTGGCAAGCCCAAAACCCTTCCCCCATACCCAGCAAAGAAAAAGTAAGAAAAAGAATATATATTAAGCCTAAATAAAATGACTACACATATGTCAATTCCGGGCTTGAAACTATTATTTTGCCTACACACCAGAGTTATGAATATGTTGATTTGGCTTACCTTTAGTGGCACCACTTGCATCAAAATAGCAAAGTTGGTGAGATGGTTGCACAGACAAGTGGAATAATTGAGGTCGCCCCCGTCACGCACACAGCCTTGGTTGGACCAAACACCGCTTCCGTTGCTGCAAAAGAAGGACATATAACGGTACCTTGGTACTCAACTGTTTGAAACATTATCCAATTTGATACTCAACAAATTTTTGATGTGAAACTGTTGCCCCAGTATTCATCATTTGATTGGCACTCAAAACATAAGTTAGAACTTGTAGGGTGTCGGGTACCTTTGTGTGACTCACTACATTATTAGGAGCCGCAGTGGTGCAGTTAGAGGGCAGTCCTTCAGGCTACTTTTGCTGACTGCCAGCTACCTGCAATTTGGCAGTTCGAATCTCCACAGGCTCAAGGTTGACTCAGCCTTCCGCCCTTCCAAGGTGGGTAAAATGAGGACCCAGATTGTTGGAGGCAAGAGGCTGACTCTGCAAACTACTTAAAGAGGGCTGTAAAGCACTGTAAAGTGGTATATAGTTCTAAGTGCTATTGCCCTTCCCTCCTTCCTTCCTTCCTTCCTTCCTCCCTCCCTCCCTCCCTCCCTCCTTCCATCCATCCATCCATCCATCCATCCATCCATCCATGGTGGTCCAGTGTTACAATGCAGCATTTGCAGGCTAATTCTGCCCACTGCCAGGGGTTCGATTCTCACTGTCTCAAAGTTGACTCAGCCTTCCATCCTTCTGAGGTGGATAAAATGAGGACCCAGATTGTTGGGGGAAAGAGGCTGACTCTGTAAACTTAAAGCACTGTAAAGTGGTATATATGTCAAAGTGCTATTACTATTATTGCTATTCCTTTTGGGGGGGGAAATCGTCATCATTTTTGGTGCTCGTCACACCTCCTGGAACCAATTAACAATGAGTGTCAAAGTACCACTGCCCCTTTTTTTGTGCCAAATTATTTATTTAGCAATGTTTTTAGGCTGAACACTTCCAAAGAATGTTGCCTAACGTAAAACCAATAATCAGTTATGGAGTGGGGCAAGAAGACAGAGAGGGCTCCATAAAACCACACATCATCCCTCTGATTGCTCCCTATTTTGGCTAAATAAGAAACCCCACTCACCCAACCATATTCCATAATTTTCTGAAAAGAGGAAAAAACCCACACCATTTCCTGGGTGTTACAGTGGGAATGGTGGTGGAACCAAAGATTAAAAAAACTCAGGTTCTAAATTGTCCAGGTTGCTTTTGCATTCAGATGCACCTGGATTTAGAAAGCTCTGGAGCAGACCAAACACCAAAGTTGAAGAACACAGAGACCGTTGAGATGAGAAGTGAGAACCCAAAGTTGATTCCCCAAATCCTGATTCCCATCCTAGTCTCTTAAAAACTGCACTACTCATCACTAGGTCTTCAGATCATCCCAGATCATCCCAGCCCCATCTTCCAGGGGTGGGAACGTTCCTCCCAGCTACCCCATCCAATAAAAATAATGTCTTCTGGTTTGGAAATCAGGAGCTCTAACTTGTCTCTTCAGCCACGTCTACTGGACTTTGTAAGATTTATAAGATGTTGTAAGGATGAGAACTTGTGATGGTGCCAGTCCAAAAATGCCATATGGTCGGCCTGCATCACATAAGTGTTTCAGTGCTTTTCCTTTTTGCCAGATGTGAGGATATTTTAAAAATAATGAAGAAGAAGGAGGAGGAGGAGGAGGAGGAGGAGGAGGAGGAGGAGGAGGAGGAGGAGAGGAAGAAGAAGAAGAAGAAGAGGAGGAGGAGGAGGAAGAGGAAGAGGAAGAGGAAGAGGAAGAAGAAGAAGAAGAAGAAGAAGAAGAAGAAGAAGAAGAAGAAGACAAAATATAAAGATCCACAAATAGAAATAGAACGACTATGGCAAAGGCAAGCAAGGGTAGTACCAATAGTCATAGGCACCTTGGGTGCAGTCCCAAAATAACTGGAGCATCACTTGAACACCATTGATGGCATTGACAAATTTGCCATCAGTCAATTGCAGAAGGCAGCTTTACTTGGAACAGCTTCCATCCTGCGACGATATCTGTAACACCACCAAACATCCAGATTTGCCTATGCCAGGTCCTTGGTAGGACTCAATAGGTAGACAAAAATGCCAAACCCAGTCTGAACATCTGGCTGACTATGCGATGAAAAATAATAATACAGTTCCCACCAGACTTGAGTTAATAATGACCTACTCCCCTGTTTCAGCTTTGCTGCTGACAAGAATCATGATTTCATTATTCTGGGTTTTCTTCCTGCGAATCCAGCAGGCAGGGGTGAGCAGGTGACACGGTTGGATGCACCTTGCAACAAATAAAGTCTTATACCAGGATGAAAACTCACCTGTAATCCAGAAAGGCACAATACAGTCTCACTTGATTACTTTGGTTTGTGGCTTGGCTGTACTGGAGGGGTGTCTAGAAAAAGAAGAGAAATCAATCAATGCCTTGGCGAGCAGGCAGAGAAATGTTCTTTTGTGTTCGCACAGTTACAGTCCCCAAAAGAGGTCCACGTTTTTGCAAAAGGGGATGAAATAAAACTTCAGGTTGGGAGAAAATGAAGGGGGGAGGCAGGAAATAGACCAAGAGCTCGGCTATTCTAGGCAGAGGCCATTCCGAGTTTGGGTCTTTTAAATCTGGATTAGAAGTCTTTGGCTATTCAGCTGATATTCCATTTGGTGAATTATCATGAATATTCTTCCTTCCTCCCTTGCTCCCTCCTTCCCTCTCATTCTCTCAACTCCTTCCTTCCTTCCTCCCTTTCTTTTTCCTTCCCTCCTTCCTTTCTTCTCTCCCTTCCTCCCTTCTTATTCCTATCCCTCCTTCTTCCTTTTTCCCTTCTTCCTTCCTTCCCTCCCTTCCTCCTTCTCTTTCTTTCTTCTTTCTTCTCATTCCCATTCCTCCCTTCCCCTCCCTTATTTTCCCTTTCCTTCATTTCTCCTCCCTCCCTCCCTCCCTTCCTTCCTTCCTTTCTTCTTATTCCCATCTCTCCCTCTCTTCCTTTTACCCTCCTTCCTTCCCTTTCTTCCTTCCTTCTTCTCATTCCCCTCCCTCCCTTCC